TCTACGCCATTAAATGTCCGAGTGATTCCGCGTGTATGTGTACGCCGTTAAATGTCCGAGCGAAACGAAGCAAAATCTATATCTACATCTGTGGAGCGATATTTCTTTTCCTAGGATGGTAGGAGAACACTCATAAATGGTATTAACCCCAGTGACGGGTAGGTTTAGGGACGGGGTTGGGGTAGGTCATATATCTATATATATATAATCAGTGTTGTGCTAGTTACTAAGAAATAGTAACTAGTTACAGTTACTAGTTACTTCATTCAAAAAGTAACTCAATTACTTTGTTGATTACTTGCACCAAAAAGTAATGCGTTACTGTGAAAAGTAACTTTTTAGTTACTTTTTTAAAGAAAGTTCTTTAATGTTCCCATTAATGCCCTTTTATGCGTTATGGTCTATACAAACACAAAACTGACTTAAACAGAAAGTAATTTTTAAACACTATTTTATTTAAGTCAGACCAGCACAAACTGAATATATCACAAGGATTTCTGAAATAAATAACAAAACAAGCATGTGTAAAGCTAGTGATGTGTTTGCTTTCTCAACATTGATATGTTCATGCAGCTGACAGTAATACGTTTTTACTGCATGAATGAATATTTGAGCAATACAATTGTACCTTGATCATTCTTGTTAGTTCATAGTAGGCTAATTAACTAAGGTAATAACAGATACAATAACAATTTAAACTCAATTTCAAATGTATTAAGTAAATGTTGAAATTAAAAAACTAACAATGAATGATACTTCTACAACATTTATTAACCATATTTAATGCTAAAATTGTAATCTCATTGTAAAGTGTTACCATTTTATATGATTCAAGCTTATAGAAGATGGCCATATTTAAATATCTGCAAAGGCCAGAGCATTAAAATTACATAAATGTAGACCTATATATTACATGTATAGTCTTTCACTTTATTTGCTTAAATTTTAGAACACTTGATTAGGAAACTTGATGTCGCTGCATGAACATATCAATGTAAGCAATCACGTCAGCTTTAAAAATACAACTTCGCCGGCTAATGAATGCATAACAGTGACCAGCTGGATATAAACTAATGCAAATAGATGGTAACAATTGCGACATAAAACATCTGGGTCAGGTCTGCGTGTGTTTTGGTCACATTGCTTTAATCGCTTGAGGTAAGTTAGCCGTTACTAATGTTATTCCTCTCAGACTCGACGGCAAGCTTCTGTTCTTTCTCTGTTGATGCAGCATCTAGACAAAATATTACTTTATAATGATATGGCAATGTGTACTTTAGTGTTCTGTATTCATACCGTTTCGCTGTCTGTGTTTTAAATGCGCATCTGAAGTGCTCAGCGCTCTCCGTGCAGCTTGTAATCTCCGTGCTCGCGCTGCCTCACGTGTTAACGTAAACAACTCAGCCAGTGAGTTTATGTGTCCTCTCGCTCTGTATAATGCTAGCAGTCTCTTCAGTGATCTCGTACTGTGTAACAGCGCACACTTCTCAGCCGCTCCAGCAACTAATTAATTTAAAAAAGTAACGGACAACGCACCATATGGTAACGATAACGGAGTTACTTTATTTAAAAAGTAATGCGTTACAGTATTAGTTACTGTCAAAAGTAACTGCGTTACAGTAACGCGTTACTAGTAACGCGTTACTGCCCAACACTGTATATAATACAGTAATATAACGTTAAGTCAAAGGCGTTGATAAACACGCTGAAAAGCGATTATGCGTGTTGATAGCACGCCAAAAATGGAAATACGAATTGGCGTGTAATACATACGCCATTTCATGAGATCAGTCTGGAGCCAGAGACTGTTCACGTCATGCCCGCCGAGCCAGAGACTGTTCACGTCATGCCCGCCGAGCCAGAGACTGTTCACGTCATGCCCGCCGAGCCAGAGACTGTTCACGTCATGTCTGCCGAGCCAGAGACTGTTCACGTCATGTCTGCCGAGCCAGAGACTGTTCACGTCATGCCCGCCGAGCCAGAGACTGTTCACGTCATGCCCGCCGAGCCAGAGACTGTTCACGTCATGTCTGCCGAGCCAGACTGTTCACGTCATGCACGCCGAGCCAGAGACTGTTCACGTCATGCCCGCCGAGCCAGAGACTGTTCACGTCATGTCTGCCGAGCCAGACTGTTCACGTCATGCACGCCGAGCCAGAGACTGTTCACGTCATGCACGCCGAGCCAGAGACTGTTCACGTCATGTCTGCCGAGCCAGAGACTGTTCACGTCATGTACGCCGAGCCAGAGACTGTTCACGTCATGCCCGCCGAGCCAGAGACTGTTCACGTCATGTCTGCCGAGCCAGAGACTGTTCACGTCATGTCCGCCGAGCAAGAGACTGTTCACGTCATGTCTGCCGAGCCAGAGACTGTTCACGTCATGTACGCCGAGCCAGAGACTGTTCACGTCATGCACGCCGAGCCAGAGACTGTTCACGTCATGCCCGCCGAGCCAGAGACGGTTCACGTCATGTCTGCCGAGCCAGAGACTGTTCACGTCATGCCTGCCGAGCCAGAGACTGTTCACGTCATGCACGCCGAGCCAGAGACTGTTCACGTCATGCCTGCTGAGCCAGAGACTGATCACGTCATGCCTGGCGAGCCAGAGACTGTTCACGTCATGCCTGCTGTGCCAGAGACTGTTCACGTCATGCCTGGCGACCCAGAGACTGTTCACGTCATGTCTGCCGAGCCAGAGACTGTTCACGTCATGCCTGCAAGCTTCCACGTCACAATGTGAAATATTAGCATAATGCTTGCCCAAAGGCATATGCAAAGAAAGAAGGCAAGGTTTCAGGGAATTGAAGTGTAGTCATGTCGTGGGGTTTGTGTTTGGATGCGAAAGCATTTATAAAGCCGTTCCTTAGCAGTACAACCCAAAAGTTTGCTTGTGCACAGCGCATTTTACAGAGGACAGCTTCTTGAACCTAGGAGATTACAAAGCCGACTATATATAAAGACTACTTACTGTTGGTTTTTAATAAAGACTTGGAGTACTCATTTTTCTATAAAACGCACAGAACAAAAAGTGCGTCTCACTTTACTGTGTGCTCAACAACATGTACATCTCTTCCTCTGCGTTAAACGACCAGACTACAAAAAAAATATGCTTAGAACTCCACCTAGTGGTTATATTATAAAACTTCTTAAAAGGAGAAATTCACATATGAGACAGCTTTATAACTTAAACAGCTTTAACTGAAATAGACAAGTTTAATATAACTATTCTGGTAAGAGTGTATTTTTTCCAACACCTACCACTGTCAAATGTTCTGCTCAAGTTGTGCTTGCGACTTGTTGGTTCCGATCGATCGAATCCGACTCGGGCTTGAACTGTTTCGGTAAATCCGACAACATTATTAACTGAGGGGCTTTGTAGAAATTACCACATTTCAGACAGACTGGGAATATAGAGGTCCTGCAATATTGTACAGTATGTGAAAAATATAGGGTTTTTTTTCAAACATTAAAGCACGTTAGCTATTCTATAACACCCAATAATCAATATAATTAACTTAAGAATAGCATCATATGACCCCTTTAAGTAACCAACTTTTACCGCATTTTAAAATTAAGAGTGGGTATGAAAATAAAAACACTGCAGTAAAGAGTTTGCGGATTGAAATTCAGGTTTCTTTCGGCTATAAATCTGCAGTGCACTGTTGTAGACATGCAAACAATTTTGCATGTCATTCTTTATGATTTGTAAATTCAGATCCTCTGGTCCAAAATCAGTTGTTTTTTTCATAGTGAATCTTAATTTTATAGTGCGTATAGCTCAAAAAGTTGGGACATGAAACCAGTGTGATTCTTGACATGCTAGATTTGTGAATTTTTTTCACATCAAAGCTCTTGTCCATCAACTCCTAGGTAAGTTCGCTAGTCGGGAATGTGAAAAATATACATTCTTCATAATTATTCTTGTCCATAAAATTTCCCCCTTTAATTATTGCTGTTGCTTGTGTTGTTACTGTAGTAATTATCTAACCCATTTTGTTACTTTTAAATTAACACTATGTAGTTTTCAACCTTCATAATATATTTCCAAGACCCTTGTGATGGTACATCGACTTACAATAGGTTAAATGACACGTCTGCCATAGCCTGACGTGGTCTGTATCGCTTTTACTAGCACTATGTAACTTCGGGTTTCGGGTAGTAACCGGAGCACAAAAATAACTAAAAAATTCGACTGCTTTACGGCATACGTCACTTCCCCCACCACTTCCTCAAATTGTCTGTGGCCATTGTTGATTCCAAAGCCGGTTCTGGATAAATAGCGAGCGTCCGCGTGCGACAGTAGGCGGCGGTAGGCTAAATTATTTACGACAGCGGTAATGGACAATTCCTCTTCCAACCTGTAGGGCAACCGCAGAGGAAAAGTTCCTTGGTGTTGCTTTAATGGCACAATATGTAATTTTCGTTGCTAGAGGTCGCCTTTTCAAAACAAAAACTTAGCTTGATGACGCCGTGATTTCGCGGAAAGTTGAAAGTTGTTATAATGCTACTCTGTGCGTTTGCTACTATGCGGCTACTATGAGACACTTGTTGCACACTGCAGTGAGCTACATCGATATTAGACATGGTAAAACATGGCACTCGCGGTAAATCAAGAAAACGATATTTAAACATTAAGACTAACTGTGCTGAGCTATATGACAATGATTTGTTTTCTGTCGATGAATGTATCCAAGCAGTTGCTCACCTGTCTAATAAAACACATAATATATTAAAGCAGAAATTGAGGGTAACACAGGTATGATGTCATTGATAGGCGACGGATGGAAATGGTCCATGTCCTGGTTAAAACTGCTTATTTCTCTGGATTTAAACATTCTTGGAAACATTTGGGATAATGTAAGTACACAAGTCAACAAAATATATAATATTCTAAACGTTTTTGGATATTTTAATCAAAAAATCTTACATATTGTGCAACATAGGGGGCAGAATGGTGAATTTCAAGTTTGATTGTAAAGAATGGCTCGAATTCAGTACTCATGGTGAAATATTTGTTTTAATAAAAAGTTAATCTCATTTGGTCCCTTTTCAGTGGTTTCAGTGAACCCATTAACCATTATATACTATAATGCAAGTATATAAACACTCATTCATTTTCATTCTGTAAATGACTGCATGATCTACTTGTGTATGTTTGGACATTTTTCACATTTTGATTCACAAAAAAAGATAAAGTAAAGCAAGGGCAATAATTTAGCACTTATTAATCATTGTGCTCTTATGGTCTTTTTCCTCCAATCGTATTGACTTTCCATTTAATTTTGGGCAATACTTCTTACTGTGAATCTGTGCACTTTTGGAATGGCCAAATCTCTTGCCACATTGATGGCATTGATAGGGCTTCTCTCCAGTGTGAATTCTCTCGTGTCCTCGCAGACCTCCTAACTGTTTGAAACTCTTTTCACAATACGAACACTTGTAAGGTCTTTCTCCAGTGTGGATCCTTCGGTGCACTTTTAACAGAGTGGCTGTAGTAAAAGCTTTACCACAATCAGAGCACAAATACTCTTTCACACCAGTGTGTATTTTCTGATGGTCTTTAAAACGGTCCAGCCATGAAAACGACTTTCCACAAACAGAACACAAGTAAGGCTTCTCTTTTGTGTGAACTTTCATGTGGCCCTTTAAATCTGATTCCTGAAAAAACTTCTTATCACACTGATCACAATCAAATGGCTTTTCTCCAGAGTGAATGAGCTTATGAACTCTGAGACTGTTTGACCATTTGAAACTCTTTCCACACTGATCACATGTAAATGGCTTTTCTTCAGTGTGAATTCGCATGTGAGTATTAAGGTTGCTTTTACTTAAAAAAATCTTTCCACACTGAGGGCATGTGAATGGCTCCTCACCAGTGTGACGTCTTGTGTGCATCCTAAAGCCTTTTTTACATTTCAAACTTTTTCCACATTGAAGACATGTGAAAGGTTTCTCTCCAGTGTGAACTCTTATGTGATCCTTGAGGCTTTGTTTACGTGTGACGCTCTTTCCACATTGAGGGCAGGTAAAAGACTTTTTGGCTTCTGTTCTTTGTTCTTTTACAGCATCTTGAGGTTCCTGGTTCTGATGTGTCTTCTCCGTTTCCTGTAATTCTTCAATTTTCTTGTGTAATTTCAAGTCTAAAATGAAAATATAAAACTGTCATGGATATTTTTTAGATGTAATTTTCAAATGTCACTTTTATCTGTAAATATTATTTTTAGCTTTATTTTGTTGCTTCTATAAATGTGTAATGGCCTATGATTCTAGTAAAAAAAAAAGTCATTAATAAAGAATCAAGAACGGACACCAACCACTTTGTTCCTCAGTATCTTCATCTTTTACTCTGCATGCTTCAGAAATTCTCGTATCGTCATTCTCCTCTTTAATAAACTCCATCTTTACAACGTCACAGCTCATTGTGGTATGGAGAACCAGATCTGGAAAAAAAAGTGATTAAGCTATAGATTACTCCATATTATTCACAAAAATACTGTCCTGGTAATAATATTTGAGAACAACAGATGTTCTAATTTTCGATGCTGTACAATAAAAATGATTGAACATTAATGATATCTTCAAGACAATTATGTTGGTTCGGTTCTGATTAACCTAGTCTGTGGACAAAGTCACAAAGGGTCTGGACGGACAGCCGAGTCAACTGTTTGCTGCTATGCAGCTCGGAAACAACCTGGTCAAATTCCAGTTGGATTGTGGGGCAATGTTAGCCTGGTTAAAACCAGACCATTCTCAGTTGTAACTGAGTTATGGTCTGGCAAAGCGTCATAGACAATTCATTTCCAGAGGGGCGTCACCAACGGACGTTGCGGATAGACCTAAAACCAATCAGAGCGATGAAGGAGATGACGTATGCAGAGCGGCGGAGAAACATCTCCGAGTGTTGTTCTTTACTCGGTTTTTAACTAAAAGGAAACGTTCAAATCGCTTAAAACAGACGCGATAGCTGATTCGAACGAGTGATGTTCAACGGCGGCAACCATCTTTGTAATGTAGGCTACAAAATCTGCTTCAAAATCCCAGCGCTGTCGTCATCGTGTAAAGCCAACGTTTCTGATTGGTGCCTCGATTTCGACGGATTGGAAATGGGCTTGAAAGAGATCTTTGCCAGACTAACTTTCAGAGCAAATCTAAATTTGCCGGAAGTTGTCTGGGTTTTCCCAGGCTAGGGCAATGTGTAACATTATCCCCATAAATCTTGTGAATCAAGACGTTCAAATAGAGAAAACAGACCAGGTACTTGTGATGTACAACATAAGTACACTGAAACCAGAAGGCAAATGCCAGTTGAAATTGAGAAATCCACATAGCAAAAAAACTGTACAGACTGGAATTATTGGTCATCGATGCACACCACTAATAATAATTTGTTACATTTATATACCGCTTTTCTCTGCACTCAAAGCGCTTTACATGGAAGGGGGAATCTCCTCCACCACCACCAATGTGCAGCATCCACCAGGATGATGTGACGGCAGCCATATTGCGCCAGGGGTTACACCCCTACTCTTTTTTCGAAGGACATGCTGAGATTTTTAATGACCACAAAGAGTCAGAGAGTTTAATGTCACATCCGAGCGTCTCTTCCGAAGGACGGTTCTTGTTTCAGTATAGTGTCCCCATCACTTTACTGGGGCGTTAGGACCCACACAGACCACAAGGTGAGCACCCCCTGCTGGCCTCACTAACACCTCCTCCAGCAGCAACTTAGTTTTCCCAGGAGGACTCCCATCCAGGTACAAACCAAGCTCAACCCTGCTTAGCTTCAGTGGGCAACCAGTCTTGAGCTACAAGGTGATATGGCTGTGGCAGCACTCTACAGTACCTACAGTCCAGGGCATGAAACTAATTAAAGTACATTCTGAGAATATTCTGGTGGTGGATAATGTTGTGACAAAAACAGACAGAGACAACACAGTCAGACAATGGACAATGAAATAAATTACAGGTGAGTTCACAAATGTTTTCAAAGGTGATGGTTGTCTGCCAGGTCGCTACAAGATAGAGATTGAATCTAGGGTGGAGCCAGTAAAGCTGCCTAAGCGGAGAGTCTCCAATCTCCAAGAACGAGGTATAATCACTGTAGTGCAAAGCACAGACTGAATAAGCAGTCGTTGTTGTTGTTGTAAAGAAACCCAGCAGAAAGGTTAGAATCTGCATAGACCCCAGACCATTGAACAAAACCATAAAAAATTAGTCACTTCCCTCTGCCCACAATCAAGGACATCTTGCCTGAGCTGTCAAAAGCAAGAGTATTCATGGTCTGTGATGTAAAAAAAAAAAAAAAGGTTTCTGGCATGTTTAATTGGATGACCCATCAAGTTATCTCACCACGTTTGCAACACCTTACAGGATGGTTGAAAATGCCTATGGGAATAAGCCCAGCACCTGAGGATTTTTTTTTTCTTCAGAGAATGCTGAACCGGGTTAGAAGGACTTTAGGGCTTACACATAATCGCACACGAAGTGGTGATAACAGGGGAAGGAGAAACACTGGAAATGGTGAAAAAGGACCATGATCAAAAACTGAGATTGTTTTTGGATAGATGCAGACTCAGACAAAGTGAAGTGCCATATATTGGACATCTGCTCACATTTGAAAGCTTAAAAGTGGATCCAGAGAAAGTACTGGCCAGAAATTAAATGCCAAGAGAGACTGACATGAAAGGAGTACAGAGACTTCTGGGCATGGTGAATTATCTGTTTTGCAGACATCTCTTAGATCACTGTGAAGTGTTTAGACAGCTGACACACAAGGATAGCTTGTGGGATTGGTCTGAGGTGCATGAACAGGGTTTTCGGAGTATAAAATACCTCATAACCAAGGCACCGGCACTACGTTACTGCAGCCTCAAGGAACAGTTAGTTCTACAATGTGATGCATCAGAGACCGGCCTTGGTGCAGCATTGTTGCAGGGTGGAGAACCTGTAGCTTTTGGTAGCCCTGCGTTATCACTGATTGAACAGGGTTATGCACAAATTGAATAAGAGTGCCTAGCCATGATGTACGGCATGGAGAAATTCCATCAATAAAAATATGGACAGAAAGTGATCATAGAGTCTGACCATAAGCCTCTTGAGAATATTGTCAAGAAACCATTGCTGTATGCATCCAAGAGACTCCAAAGGATGTTAATGAGACACCAGAAATATGATTTTGTCATTACCTATGTTCCAGAAAGGAGATTCTGTTCGGAGATGCAGTTAAGTGTCTCTGGAGGACACCGCACAGGAAGGATCGGTGGAAAAAGAGATGGAGAGTGTGAACATGATTCAGTACCTCCCGATATCTGATTAGAGACTAAAAGGAATTAGAGGTAAGAGACCAAAAGTTGACACACTTCAGACACCGATAAAGACTATCAGAGAAGGATGGCCAGCGAACTAAAGAAACATACCAGGGAAAGTAGTTCACTACTAAAGCCAGGATGAACTAACTGTGCAGGATGGTATTGTGTTCAAAGGTTAAAAACTGTGATACCTGATGCACTGAGAAGTGACATGATACAACGAGGTCACTCTGCACACCTTGGTATTAAAGGATGTTTGAGGAGAGCAAGAGAATGCCTCTATTGGCCAGGAATTAATGCGCAAATAAAAAGATACATTGAGAAGTGTGATCTGTGAACATTGCTGGAAATGAAACAATCATCTTTGCCCACATGAACTCCCTGAACGGCCGTGGTCTAAGGTGGGCACAGATCTGTTTGTATTCAATAATGGGGACTATCTGCTCACTGTGGATTATTTCTCAAATTTCTGGGAATCTGATTATTTACCAAATACAAAGTCTTCCACTGTGATTACAAGCTGAAAGCCCATTTTGCCAGGCAAGGCATTCCTAACATTGTGTTCACAGATAATGGGCCACGTTATATATATCAACAGAATTCCAAAAGTTCAGTAGATGTTGGGAATTTCAGCATAAAACATCATCACCTACCCACATGCAAAGTAATGGGAAGGAGGAGTCTGCTGTCAAGACAGCAAAACGTCTGATGCAGAGAGCCAAGATGTCCAGACAGGATCCATACCTGGCAATCTTAGATCATAGAAATAGGGTCTGAATGCGAGCCCTGCTCAGAGACTGTTCGGCAGGAGGGCACAAACACTCCTCCGCATACACAGCAATCTGTTGAACCCCAAAGCAGTAGAAACGAGACAAGGACTGTGAATAAATCAAAGATGACAAGAAACTTACTACAACAGACATGCAAAAGACATGAACATCCTGAAACCAGGTGATCAAGTGAGAGTACAACCAACAGTCACAAAAGGTTTGGCAGAAAGCAACAGTCCTGGAACCTGTTAACAAACACTCATTCAAGGTTGAACTGGACAGTGATGGTGTACCAAGGAGGAACAGAAGATACCTCAGACACACTGGACATCAAGCACAGTTCACAAAACAGGGACACAGCTTGCTGAGAGCACCAGACAAAGGGAGTATTGTGCTCAGTAAAATGGTGAGACAAAACCTACTGTCACTACTAGAGTGAATTAGTGTCAGACCTCAGTATTTGAAAGACTATGCTACTTCGTTAAACATGGACTGATTTTCATGGACTCTTCTTGATATAAAGACCCTAACCCTGTTATGTTATGCAGGCTGGAAAAAGACAGTTTTTAAGTCTAAAGCCTAAATTAGAAAAAAGGTGATTTTTTTCTTTTTCTTTTAATGTTCAGACATTCACTGTGTTCATATATAGATATAAAAATTCAAGGTCGTACTTGTGAAAAAAAGGGAAGGATGTAAATGTGATTGTTATGTGACTCATGTTGTAGTACGGACCCTTTTGTATGTGGCACTTTGAGAGTTGAATGCTGTTCAGTAAATGTAGAGCATATGGCATCAGTCTGAGTTATTTATTTATTTGAAAGAGAGCAGCACATATTTACATATTCATCTAAACGTCACTCTCAGCAAGGTGAGCGGCGTCGGGATGTTCGCTAATAGTATATAATTACAAAGGTATTTCCAGCTTCTTTTTACCCCCAAAAATCTTAAATCGTGAGTACATCGGGGCCTTAAAGGGATAGTTCAGCCAAAAATGAAAATTCTGTCATTAATTACTCACCCTCAAGTCATTCAAAACCCGCAAGACCTTCATTCATCCTCGGAACACAAATTTAGATATGTTTGATGAAATCCTATGGCTCAGGGGGGGCTCCATTGACAGCTATTTATCATTAGTAGGGGTGGAACGGTACATGTATTCGTATTGAACCGAAACGGTACGGGCGTCACGGTTCGGTGCACGAATTTACACGGAGAATACACGGTATAAAAATAAATAAAACTCGCGTGCAAATTAATTCATGTAATGCGGAACTACTGTTAGATACGCGGGTTCAGTGGCGTGCACGGGGGGGGGGGGGGGCACAAAAGGGCACAACCCCCTATTGTGATCATTGTAAATAATAATAATTATTATAAATATTATAATAAATAACAATACACTTACACACCCTTGCCACTAACAATAATAATACAAACAAATATTATATTAAAAAAAATTGGCGGAGAAGTGGTAGGCGGAGTTTCCTTTGCAGCACCTCGTGCGCATTTAACGGTTCTGGTAGCTACGCACTACGCAGCAGTTCGCGCGAGTCTTCAAACGAGCAGCAGGTAACGTTAAAGCTAATAAGGAAAATTACATTTATCCTACGATCATGCTACTCTAAAAGTTGCGGCAGCAAGCGAGTTATTAAAAGTATAACTCGATTACAGACGCATTCTGAGTGACAATGTTTTTCGTTTTTATCCAGGGGACTAAAAGTGCAAGGGGAATTACATCTAGTTAAATGAAATCTTAAGTCAATGTCCAACTCTAAATTGTAAGGAACTTATATCTTTGATTTCATAGTAACGCTTTACAATAAGGTTCATTTGTTCATTACGCATGTATGAACTAGCATGAACTAACCATGAGCAACACATTTGTTACTGTATCTTAGTTAATAATACAACTGTTAATTGTTTATTCATGTTATGTCACAGTCAGTGCATTAACTAATGATAACAAATACAACTTTTGATTTTAATGTTTTAGTAAATGCTGAAATTAATATTAACTAATAACCCTAACCCTAAATGCTGTAGAAGTGCAGTTCATTGTAACTAATTTAACTAATGAATCCTTACTGTAAAGTGTTACTGATTCATGATAGCTAACACTGTCTTTCATACATATAATACATACATTAAGTTTACAACATCAACAAAACTAAAAATTAGTTTTCCATAAAATTATTAATTTTAACTTCTTGATTCTCACTGTTTTGTTTGGTAAAGTAAATAATATTTAGTAATATTATCATAATTTCCCTATTTTCATTTGATGTGTTATGTATTCTAATAATTGTAAAAACATATTTTCTTAGAATGCCAAGGAAAGAAAGAATAAAATAAAAAAAAAATCAAGGAACTCTATGATGCAGCCAAAGGAAGCATCCCTCTCACAAGTTGGCTGAATAGAGAGAATAAAAATGCAGGTACTGTTAAATTAATTATTTAAAAAAATTAGTGCCCTTTTTGGTCCCTCCGCCCCTGCCCCTGAGGAGGTCTGTGCACGCCACTGCGCGGGTTCTTTAGGGACACATAATCTGTACCATCGGCTTAGCTCTGAACGCGCGTTCACTTCAAACGTTGGCTTTATACGCATGTCCTATTCGCTTTGGACTAGCGTCGAACTAGACGCGAATTGGACGCTCTATTCGCGTTTGGTGTGACCGCATAATGAACAGGCTGCGATGTCAAGATTGCAATGCTGGAGTGTGTGTGTGTGCGCGAGAGAGAGGGAGAGGCGCGGGCGCGATATAGGCGCGAGATCGAACAGTGGAAACATAAAAAACATACTCGGTCATTTTGTTCATACAGATCATTAAACCTGCAAAGTGTTTACTTATATTTGTATACACTCGCAATAAAACACAACATTGTGCTTTTGTCACACTGTAAACTCTTGTCAAACTGTAACCTACAACTGTCACCCAACCAAAATCACACACACACACACACACTGTTTTAAAAGTAAAACATATTTATCCAACTCCATTTCAAAACAGTCTGTGGATGACATCTTTTGGACATTCATCATATTGCATTGGTTTTCATTTCTTGTCCTCGGAGCACTAATCTTACATTGATTAAAAAAGAAAATCTAATGCGTTTTTAATGGTAGTATTATTTTATACATAAATCAATTATTTATAATTCAGATGAGAATAATGTTACATTGTTAATTAATAATGTTAATTAAAATTAAGGAAAACAAATATATTGATCTGAAATATAGCAAATTAATTTTAAATTAATTCAGGTACAATTACCAAACATATCGCAAGGTCTTTTTGTTTTTTTATTAATTTAATTAATAAACTAATTATATAAAACTATTGTCAGTGCACTATAAATAAACTGGTTCTATGCCTTTATTAATAAAACTTATTTAAAAAATACGATGCCTTCTGCATTTTTGTTTTGCTTTTTCCCTCCATTGTACCGAAATCATACCGAACCGTGACTTCTGTGTACCGTTCCACCCCTAATCATTAGACATTTAAGACATTGTTAAAATAGTCCATGTGACTACAGTGGTTCAACCTTAATTCTATGAAGCAATGAGAATACTTTTTGTGTGCCAAAAACCCCAAAAAACGACTTTATTCAACAATTTATTCACTTCCGTATCAGTCTCTGACGCGCGTTCACGAGACCATCCCTCGCTCATAGCAGACTGACGGTTGGAGGGGAGTAGTTAAGGATATTCAACCCAAGTCGAAGGAACGCCGTTTCAGAGTGGAAGCAAATTTTCTGAATTTGATTCAAGATTACCACAACAAACAAGTTTTTCTATGTTTTAACTTCCATGGATTCATTGTTTACCACAAGACTAGTAATGTGCACTAACCAAGTAAATAGGGTCCATTTTGGGCTTTAAAATCCCAATATTCAATTTCCAGCCATATCTTTTGAGTTTGATCTTTTATGATATCTTTAGCCTCAGCTTTACTTAAAGGGTAAGTTCACCCAAATATGAAAATTATGCCTTTCATTTGTCTATTGAACACGAAGCGAGATAACAAAATCGTAACGGTATGCAATAAAAAAAGTCGTCAAATTGTTTTATTTAGTGCTTTTCACAATACACATTTTCAATGCAGAAATCATGTTGTTAATATGTATAATATCTTCAAAATCGAGTGGTAAGGCTAACATTCTGCCTAACATTGAATGAAATGATACATGTTTGGATAAACTACAGATTAAACAATTATACAAATTATTGTTAGTTGTAGCCCCATCTATTATGAGAGAAAATAATATGCATTTAAGTCTAAAATAAGAAAGATCTGTTGCACATTATTAGGCAGAATCATGCAGTAAACAACATTGAGATACAATGATTAGCATTTTATTTCTTGCATTTCCACGTTACACTGCACCAGTGGTTCCCAACCCTGGTCCTGGAGACCCGGACACTGCACACTTTGGATGTCTTCATTATCTGGCCTTGGAGTTTGGTCTAATTAGCTTATGAGTTGAATTGTCTATGTTTGATAAGGGCGTGTGCAGTGTTGGGGAACCAGCATTGAGAAACCGTCACCTTTACAACACATGGCATTAAAAAAAAATCAGTGGAACTGATTAAAAAGCACAATAAATTACATTATTATTAATGTATCATTTTCAATCAAATTTCAGCTTTACCACACATATACTTTCATTTCAAGAGTTGTTGTTGACTGGGTGGCTCTGAGGCTCCGCCTTCTTTGTGGAAATATTCTCCGGTTCATTTCTTCTGTTCAGTCTGTCGAGGTCAGACGCGAGTAAAAACATGAATACACTGAGAGCTGCTTTATAGTAAAAACTGAAGTTGTAATACTAAATTAAACACTGACACTGTTTTTCATCTTTAATACTGTAAAGCTGCTTGATTTTAAACAAAACATTGTATAAAGTGCTATTTAAATAAACATGATCTGACTAAATTGAAGTGCTGAATTGCAGAGCTGGGGCAAACATCTACTTTTTTTTTAACAACTACATTTTTTGTGTATATGTTTATTTTGTTATTGAGAGGAAAGCGCACAGCACAGATTTATATATTCATATCGGCAGGATCAGTAGACTATATAACTCCAAAGGTATTTTTAACTTCTATTTTTTTTTACCCCTAAGTGAAGAACAAAAAATAACATCACTGCGAGTATATATGGGTTTTAAGTCACCAAGATAATTTACCATAGTAAATTGCTCTTAAATTAAGTTGCTGCACGTTTTCTGAAGATGAACTTTGCTCTTCACTTTGACAGCTTTGGACAGTGGTTGTTAACGTGAGCCAGTAGAGAGCTCTGTTGGCTGAAACTTCTCCCACACGGAAGGCAGAGGAAAGGCTTCTCTGCAGCATGTGTCCTCTCATGCTTTTTCAGGGTTCCTGACTGAGCGAAACTCTGTCCACAATGTGAGCACTTGTATGGTTTTTCTCCAGTATGGATTCTCTGGTGCTGTTTTAAGTTCCTGGCTCTAGTAAAGGCATTGCCACAGTCAGAGCATACATAGGCTTTCACACCTGCATGCATTTTCTGGTGATCTTTACAAGAGTTCAGGCGTGAAAAACTCTTTCCGCAATAACAGCAGAAGTAAGGCTTTTCTTGTGCATGAACTTTCATGTGTTTGTTAAGAATAGATGAAGAAGTAAAATTTTTATCGCACTGCTCACAGTTAAATGGCCTTTCTCCGGAGTGAGAGCGCTCGTGATCTTTGAGATTCGCTACTCTTCTGAAACTCTTTCCACACTGAGGGCATGTGAACGGCTTCTCGCCGGTGTGAATCTTCATGTGACTCTCGAGGTGTGCTTTATATGTGAAACTGTTTCCACACTGGGGACATGAGAAGGGCTTCTCTCCTGTGTGAATCATTAGGTGTCTCTTAAGATTTCCTTTTTGTGTGAAAGTCTTTCCACACTGAAGGCAGGTGGAAATAAAACTCTCTCCTGTTCTTTGAGAGGAGGACAAAAATGATTTTTTTCCATCAGGTTTCTGGTGTTGATGTTGCTCCTCCACTTCATGCAGTTCTTCGCTTTCCTCTTTTACGTCCTTTAGGTCTAAAATGGACATAATAAATTGTAAAAAAAAAAACAAAAAAAAAAAAACAAGTCAACAGCAACGAAGGTAAAACAAGTCAAAAGTGAACCACAATGCAAACGCTATGAAGTAGGGCTCTAGCAGTGACATTTTTTACCACCAGTAAATTTGTCTCTTTAATGATTTGAGGACAGTAATTTCAGTGCACATGGGCTACATTTGGGCTACACAATTAATCGAATTTCTAATCGCTGATTACGGATGCCACAATTACGTAAATCGCTCAAAGCCGCAATTAAAAAAAAAAAATGTGCGTGCTTAAGAAGTGTTTAAAGCATGTTACGTTGTGAGAGGCAAATCGCAAATTTTAATACTAGTCTGTAGGCGTGTCCTCATCAACAACCTGATTATCCACTGCCGCATGTCTATCTCATGTCATGTTAATTTCGTGAACGTGTGTTGATAAAGAAGCATCCAATTCCGACGACTTGCAACGTGTTGTTCAGAATCAAGCATTAGAACAGAAAAAGAAAAGCCAGAGACATGCCACTTCCTCAATCCTCAATACAACTATATAGGGAAAACCCTTAACGGCAAAGATGGCGGTTGTATGCACATGCCCCGCCCCTCCCGCTGGAAAGCCAATCGTCTGCTTTTAACAGTCAAGCCGGGAAACATGTAAGCCTATCATCTGGTTCCACTGACGCATGCGCACAGTTGAGGTTTGTGACAGCGGAGACGAGAACCCTTGCGCATGCGTAGTAAACGTATAACCTGTCGGGAAAAAGACCTTTTAAACCTTATTTTGGGGCAAAGTCATCAAACTTTTTCAGCGATTTTTATCATATTTTACTGCTGTTTCTATACAAGCAGTTTTTATGTACCGGTGACCAGTGAAAGTGCAGTTCTGACTCTCTGCCCATTCATTTAGATAGGAGCCTGGTCTTGTTAGTCCGAAATAGCTGCCCGAAGGCGTTGCCAAGATGGCAGCCGAGCCGAGTGGCATGACTTGCCTAAGGCCCCATCCACACTACTGCGTTTTAGTTTAGAAACGGATAATTAAAACGAATACGATCACCGTCCACACCAGCGTTTTAGCTGCGTATTAGAATTGATCTCCGTCCACATTAAAACGACTGAAAACGCGGATCACGTGACAATTTACCAACACTGGGCATGCGTGTGCCGGTGTAAACACAACTTCATTGATAAAATTATCCCACCATGCTCTGGGTTAACCCCAAACCGACGCTCCATGTACGGTCAACGCCGCCGATGCACACGGGAATTGTCACAGATCGCTCGAATAATAGCTTGACTCCGGCGCATGTAGGCAGTTATAGCGCTGTAAAATGCAGAATTTACTTGTACAACAGCTGCTAGCAAAGATATACGCCATGACTGATGACACCCAATCATAGAGCCGAGCGTGAGCCTCTACTACGTCATCGTTTCTAAAGTCCTCCGTTTTGACCCGTCTACACTAAAACGCCCTCCGGAGATTCAAAACGAAAAACGGATCGGCAGCGTTTCTAAACTTCTCCATTTTGGGTCTCCGTTTTTGCCGTTTTAGTGTGGACGGGAGGTGCAAACGTAGCAAAAAGTCTCCGTTTTTAAACGAAAACGCAGTAGTGTGGACTGGGCCTAAAAGGACTTTGGAAAAGCTCTCTCAGAAAAGATCACACTGGGAATGCGATTGCTCAAGGATTGACAGGATCACTACAGACAACGCAGCAAATATAGTGAACGCTGTTCGTTGCTATTAATAAATGGACCAGACTCCAGTGTTTTGCCACAGGCTGCACTTAGCAATTGGTGAGTAGCCTGCTATTACTTAAGAAAATGTATTTATCTTAAAAAAATGGACACATGATATTGCAATGACATAATAATTAGCTATATGTACTTGTCTAATAATATGTAGACCAGGGGTTTTCAAATCCATTCCTGGGGACAATGTTATGCAAGCACATAAATTGCAATTATAATGCATTCATTGATAGAACAGTCCAGCATTCAACAAATTCAGTATAATTTTTTTTTATACTGTAATAACGCTGTTATTTGATAAGTGAACAAACTATTAAAACTAAAATATAAATTGTACTGTTACTATCATTTGAAAATGAGTGTTCAATTGTAAATAAAATATATTTAGTAAACGTGTGCGTGTTTAGAATATTCTTTGAAAGATGGACGGATTGACCGTGCACTGCTACTGACTGTCTGCAAAAAGGTGGTTGGGTGCTTCTCCTATAGCTGGAGACGAAGAGTTGTCCGAGGCCCAGAGAGACCTCAAGTTACCTGAGCACAAGCTCAAGACTGAATGTCCAACAAGGTGGGGATCAAAACAAGCAATGATTGCCAGGGTGCTGCTGGGACAACAGAGTGCCATTTCTTGTGTTTTCTCCACGGACAAAAAAGTCAGACACCTTGTTCCCACATGACAGGATATAGAAGTACTCGAGGCAGTCAACAATCCCTTTCTCCTCTTGGTGAATTCACTGATGGTCTTTCAGGAGAGCAATATGTAAGTGTATCATATGTGAAGCCTGTTCTTCATGTGTTCAACAATAAAAAGAGGCAGAAAAAGGGAGAGAAACAGAAATCTCAAAATGCATCAAGAAGAAGATCCTGGACTACCAGAATGAGAAGTATGATGTAGTTTGCTTATTAGTCCAGCTGTAGTTTGTTTATTATGCCTGCAGGGCAACCACCCAGTAGAGCATTACAATAATCTAGCCTTGAGGTCATGAACGAATGAACTAACTGTTTCACATTTGTCATTGAAAGCATATGTCATAATTTAGATATATTTGTAAGCTGGAAAAATACTGTTTTACAGATACTAGAAACGTGACTTTCAAATGAAAGATTGGTATCAAAGAGCACACCCAGGTTCCTAACTGACGACGAAGACTTAACAGAGCAGCCATCAAGTGTTAGAATCTCTGTTTTTTTTTATTGTTTTATTAAGTAGTAGGAAATTACTAGTCATCCAGTTTTTTATATCAGCTATGCATTCCGTTAATTTTGTGAATTGGTACGTTTCGTCAGGGCGTGAAGAAATATAGAGCTGAGTATCATCAGCATAACAGTGAAAGCTAATTTCATGTTTCCTAATGATATCTCCTAAGGGTAGCATGTACAGAGTGAACAGCAACGGTCCTAGTACTGAGCCTTGTGGTACGCCATACTGAACTTGTGATCGATAAGACATATCTTCATTTACTGCTACAAACTGATAACGGTCAGATAAGTATGATTTAAACCATGCTAATGCAATTCCACTAATGCCAACATCATTTTCGAGTCCATTTAAAAGAATGTTGTGGTCAATAGTATCAAATGCAGCACTAACAGTAACACTAATAGCGAGATACAACCACGATCAGATGATAAGAGCAAATCATTTGTGACTAATGAGAGCAGTCTCCTCGCAGATATCATTTCTTTCTAAAAAGGAACACAGTTGTGAGGATACTGTCCTTTTCTAGTATCTTTGACAGAAAAGGTAGATTCGAGATCGGCCTGTAATTGAATATATCTGTAGTTTTTCTGTAGAAACTTGCTGTTTCTTTGTAATTATTTGTGAAACTTACTATTCATTTCTGAGTGAAAATGTCTACACCATTTTGTTTTCAAACTGGGGGCCGCAAGGGAGTGCTAGGGGGTCAGTGGAAAGGTTTGGAGAAAAGCAGTGTAAAAGTAAAAATAAATAAATAAAAATAATATTGAACTAACTAAATAAATGTAATACTTAGATATTCAAATAATATTTATATTAAATAATTAAATAATAAATTAATACAGTAGACCAAGACAAATTGATAAGAATAAATAAATCTTCTAATTTTATTTAACTAAATAGATAAATAAAAACATTTGAAACTTCTAAACTATACATTTTAAACTAACTAAATAAATTAATAAATAAATAAAACCTATAAAATGTTAAAAGTAGCCTAGTGTTTTAAATTCAATTAATAAGTTTAAACTTACTAAATCACTTAAAATAAAAATGTAGTAAAAAAAAAAAAAAAAAATATCTGATAGCCTAAATAATAAATAGCTACATTTGATTAAAAAAAAAGGATCACAAATATATTAATAAAACATTTACTTAATATAACAAACATAGAAACTAAATATTTTACACATTTTATATTAATTATTCCACAGTATTAATTGGGTCTTTTTAGGCAACTTAATATTTTAATAGCTACTTCGGCTAAATTTTAGGATGGGGCTCGCTCCAGGATGCTCGTGTGTGGCACCTGAAAGACTGAAAACCCCTGGTATGAATAATACTTAACCTAAAAGTAGCCAGCCCTGCTTCCTGCAGACTTCAGCTTCAACAAACACACCTGCCTGTATTTCAGCTCCAGCACCGGGGTTTGGCTGACCATGCAAACTTGTTTTGCGTTCAA